TATATATAGCCGCTCCTATAGTCATCTGCTCGATAGTTAACTCGAGTATCAATAGTGAGAGTGCCGTCAAAATTATTTCACAAGATATTGTTACTAAATAACAGAGATTTTCATTAAGATAAGACCGAAAGTGGGGGGTTTTAAAGCATGTTGAAATCGATGACGTGATCAATGGGAATCTTTCTATTTTTATCCGTGTAGTAATGGAGCAGAAATTTATGAAAATTATGAGGCTGGCCGTTGAGAATTTTTGCGCGAGTAAATTCAAATCGTTCGGGTATTTGTGAGCAACGACGATAGTTGATAAGTGATACTGTTATTGTGATTTAAAAGTCTTGTGGCCGTTTTCAGTATCGGGGTGTACCTTAAAAGGATCAAAATGTCGACAGTGTGCTTAGGTTTGCATCGTTTATGTCCTGTTTAGTATTAGCTTCATTTCTTTAGCATTAAAGCGTCAACTCAGATGCTCGTAATAAGTAATGGTAATATCACACAGAACTACCTGATTAAATGAAGCAGTAGCCAGTTGTTAGCTATATAATAACACATATCTAGGTAATGTCGTAGCAATACTAGCCTTGACTTTTGTCGATCAATAAAGAGATTTTTAATTGAAAATTCGTTTGCGTAGCAACGATGGCTTTTCGTCAACGGAAGTAGCCACGTTTCCGTTGATCTCGGTGGAGGGATCGAAGGGCCTAAGGACTGATAATGCTCAGGTTAACGACGAGAGTTTGGATCCGTTCCCCAAAACAAAAATGGCCGAAGCCCAAGGACGAGTAGGACCCGCGTAAGTTCTCACTCTCCAACATAGTCGTTTATAGCAATGATAGACCCATGGATTCTGCAATTCGGAGAATAAGGCCGACGCTTATAGAATTCGTCTTAGTTCCATAGTTAATTGTACATTTAAGGTTATCCTTTGCACATGCAAAATAACCTTGTCAATAAGATACGACTAAAAATAACATCATCGACGCTTTATCATTGGAACAAGGAGAGTCGAGTTAGCGCTGCGACTGTGCCCTAACAGAACGGATGATCCACCTACAATGCTAAGATGATAAGGTACTAACAATTGAGTGTCGCATGCAGTGAACTTCCCGCGAAGCCGAGAGCTCGTTCATATCAGATTGCGGCGCACGCTAAATTCGTGGTAAAAGGACGCACTGAGACTCTGCATTTCGGCCAAGAGCCTACGAAACCATCATCCCCATCCAGGTGGGCAAAATCGTTATATAGTTCCGCCGACGGCAAAAGGTTCCACGAATGTGACATTGTCGAAAACCACGTTCTGGTCAGTATATTCACACATGTTAATAACGATATGCGATTGCTCGCAGTCTGTATTCAGTGGGAGACAAACCAGCGCTCGAAAACCTGAACAATGTAAACGAGACCTAACCATCAAAGAAGGTAATCATTATCATCATACAAATGCAAAAAACAAAAAGATGTACGTAAAGGCTTAACATGTATGGAGCTATTCGATTTGGCAGCTGATTAACACTTCGCTAAAATGGCCCCCAAACAGCCTCACCGTAAAGCCACAGCAGCCCATCTTTTAGCCACCTAAATCTTGTAGTCGGAATATACTCAAGACAAGCTAGCCAGCCAGCCAATTTTGTATTAGCTATCTATGCGTATGTTTCTAAGGTAATATATAGAATTTCTCTTTATTTAATTTTACGCTCGAACTTTTTACGCGGGAAATTTACGCTCACAACTGAATAACAATTTTTCAGTTTTGTGACGGCAATGAAAGGGGCAGTTAGATTTGGCTTTAATTCAGTGTGTGTTACATCGGGCCTCACTTGAGCGATTTCAGCCAATGTTTCCTAGCCGTAGTGCCAATAACGAAATGCGCGTGTCTCTCTAGCGATACTTCTCACGCTTACGTTAGTGTACAAATTACATTCAAACACAGTTGGCCGCGACCATTTAATCGCTTACTCAGAGCTATAATGAACAATATTATTCTCGATATACGCAGACTGATCGACGCTCGCGTATTTGACCCTGCGTGTTATCGGACGTTTCCTTGCTACAGTATAATAATTCTTGCATGAAAGTGGTTTTGTCCGAAGAAAAATAGGCTTTCTTCCGTGACAGATTGTTCTAATCTTCTTTGAGTATCGTGTGCTTTGTCATTATCCCAGGACCTCATCACTGTTCCGTGCAAGCTGTAACTAAAGTATAGCCGCTTATCCTACCTGTATTTGGGAGGTTATCCTGTCTTCACTCTTCCTTTTTCCTTGTACAATACCGTGACTAAGTACGTGTACGAAAGTTCACTTCTCCTTACGTACTGCGGTAACTTAAACAGGTAGACTTACGGCTACAAATAGAAAAGTGCTGATTTGAACTCGCGTCAGAGACATATCCACTCAAGTTGTCGCTCAATGAACATTGTTACTAAAGCGAACTCGTTCGTTGAAGAGCCAAACATAAAAGCAGTATGACTTCGAAATGGTGCTACCTATGTTCAGGTCATGATATAACCTGAGAAACACCCGTATTGGGGATTAGCGGCGTCTGTAGTGATATAATCACGAGAAATGATAGCAATATTCATTACTTGTTTACTTTGTATAAAAGGGTCAAAAACTTGAGCTAAAATTGCACTCAGCGTTTTATATTTTAATGCTGTATGATGAGCCCAAAATGACCTCAGAAGCTCGATATTTTCACTAACCTCGTTGTACAGACTCGCTCTAGGATTTGCGAAGGAATGTTTGTATTAAATTCTTTTTTACTACAGCTGACTATAGTTCAGAAGTTTCAAAGGAACTTTGTCGGCGTCCATTTTCTTGATCTCCAGAAACGGGGTGAATACCTAGTGAAGAATTTCTATATTTTTAATAGACAGTAATATCAGTACATTTGGTGAAGTATGGCTTCAGATACAGTCATCAAGGCAACGATATTTGTGAAATTTTTATTTTCAGTTACGCTGAAAGCTATGACCCACAACCGCCTGGTAATGCAGTCAAGTCACGCGTCTACACGTCCACGTTCAAGCCGCACAGTCTTGCCCACGGGAGCCAGGGTGCACCGTGGCATCCGCCACATACTTACGAAGCTTCACCTACTCAGACTTCTGGCGCCTCAAATACAAATGCCTATGTGCCGGTTTCAGAAAACCAGCCTGCACAGAGCCCAGCTCTTACACTAACCCCTGGGCCAATCCACAGCACTGGCAGCAATCCAGATCACAAGCAGGTCTCAAAGGAGCAAATCTACAACTCCGCACCTGGTTCACAACCCATTTATGCCCCTGCGCTGGACGTGAGACCTAACCACGAACTGGCTCCGCAGGTTCAATCTAGTTACCACGCGTTACTGCAGGGACAACTTGATTATGAAAAGAAACCACAGACCTCTTCTGACTATGATTTTGCCCCACAAGCCCAATCCTGGTATGAATTATTACCACAAGCCCTGCCTAAATATGGTCCAGGTCTGTACGTCCAATCTAGTTACCAAAAGGACCCGCAAACCTCATATAACCGTGGTCCTACTCTACAGGTCCAGTCTGGCTATGGATCGTCACCGCAAGCCTCATTTAACTATGGACTAGGTCCACAAGCCCAATTCGGGTATGGACCGATACCGAAAGCCTCATCTAATCACAAAGTAGCTCTGCAAGGCCAACCTAGTTACGAAAAAAAACCACAAATCTTGTCCAATCATGGTCCTGCTCCACAGACTCTATCTGGGTTTAGATTATCGCCGCAAGTTTCGTCTAACTTTACAACAGCTCCGCAGGGCCTACTTAATTACGCAGAGGAATCACAAGCCTGGTTAAACCATAGCCCTGTTCCAGAGGTCCAACCAGGAAATGGATCATCTAAGTATGGACCAGCTTCACAAGCCCAATCCGAATATGCATGGTCACCGCAAACCTCTCCTAATTATGGTCATACGTTGCATACTCAGTCTGGCCGTCAAGAAATACAACAGTCTTCTTTTAATTTACAGGCTCAGTCTAATAACGGAGCGCTTTTGGAACTGTCAGCTAACCAAGCAATTAATTCACCAGCTCGCTCAGGTTATAGAGCGGTACCACAAGCCTCGCCAAACTCTGGGCCAGCTCTACAGCTCCAATCTGTCTACGGAGCAAGGTACGGGCCAGTTTACGAAACTGGGTCGAACTATGGGCCTACATCTCAACAGGAAAATTATGGCACTTTGAGTCACACAGTTTTGGCCTATCAGTCAGCTTTACAGGGACATGCTCAGCCCGCTGTGTCTAACTATGGAGCTGATCGCCAGCCTCAAGCAGTCTCCGGACGAGCGTCCAAAATTCATCCCACTTCCACGCCAGACATCCAAATTCAAGGAACCTACGTCCGTACTCCGCCGACTTATTACGGCTATGGTCCTCCATTTCAGACACCAAGAAGATACGGTCTTGCCTACCAAAGTCTCCCAAGCTATGGATATGAACAAGTTAATCACGCAGGTGCTCCAAAAATTTATGAACGTCCGCCACAGATTGGTACGCAGCATTCGATAGACCCTATGCAAGGTTATCTTCCTACTCTCCAAGATCACTTTCAGCCTACCAACACTTTTAAAAATGTAATGGAGCATAGCCCTCAAGCAGGTCATGTGCAGGCACAGCCTATGCTGAATTTTCGGGTCAACCATACTCAATCCCAATCCGTACATATGGTTCATCCTGGTTCTAATCAGTTTATTCCCATACAGAGTCTCATTCAATCTAATTACCGTCAGCTCAAGCCCGTGCAGGGACCTCAAGCTGGTGGTGTTCCGTCATCGAGCAGCGACCAGCTTGCCCAACCTGCTAAGTTCGGAGGCACTCCTCATGACTTCCATAATTCGCCCATAGATGACTTCATTCAAACTCGCCATCCGTACATGGACGGCAAACCTCATGCCTCAGAAGTGACACCTAGGCCTTCCACTGCCTCGTTCCACCTGCCGATTGAACATGCCGTGGTAACGCTGGAAGTACCAGCGCCTCAACAGGGTTACGGCACGCCGCGGAAAGTCTCTTATGAACCACAGGCACATACTCAGAATACTGACTACACGCCCCCCAATGAACCGGATAAACAACAAAATCAGAAATGTACGCCGAAAATAAGTTCTTTATAGGGTATATTATATTCATCTGGCTGAACACCCACAAAAAAATTTTTTTTAAATGCTACACAGAAACAAATAGTAAGCACGTGAGCGGCGTGTATATATTCCGTGGATGTTGTACAAACTGTTATAGCTGAACCAAATGGAAGCTTTTTAGAAAGCGTTTGGATAGCTATTTCAGCCTTTGAAACTGTGTGGGTCACAGCGTGAATATGGCATATTTAATTTCTACTCAGAACAAGCCTCATATATTTCTACGATTTCAGCGGATGATAATGCACCGGCAGAATCGGATGAGGTTCTTCGTGAAATGCCTCAAGAGAGCCCTGATCAAACGTCTGAAGAAACAAATACAGAGGGCCCAGGCCGAATTGAAAATCAAACGCGAGCGGATGATGCAAAGCGTGATCCACCGGTTAGTCACTCCGATCAAATAGAAGAACATGGAGATACTAAACCTGACGAAAAACCCAGAAGTAAAAGTAGACTTGCTAGCGCCAACGATAAGTCTAATCGACCTGCTCAGACGTTCCACAAAAGCTATGAACCGCCCACGGAACATAACGATACAAGGTATAGTGCCGACAATCCTTTGAAATCGCCTGATGATCTATCATCCGAAAGAACCATTCATAGGGCTACCTGACTCAAGTTAACCCAAGTTAACAAGTTGGGTTAAACTAGGCTTTTCGGTTATGAACGTAAACATGAAAGCATGAATTATCATCATAAACTTCAAAAGAGCGGCAAGTCTCAGGTGGCTTACATGGCTAGCGAACCTTCGATGGTAGCGACATTACTGAACTTTTTTGAACCCCTTTTTTTAACTTCTTGATTCTAACGCACTTCAGATCCAGCGAGGATTCTGCAAACAAACATAAACATATTGGTCTACATTCTGCGGAAGAAATTCCTGAACACCTCGTTTACATCATGTATGTTCGACAGCAAGCTGAAACACAAAAGGAAAAACTGCCCACGAGTCCGCAAGGTGAGTATTGGTTGAAAAGTGCTTCTATAGAATTTTTCAGGGTGAAAATAGGCTATAGTGGAGCGGAATTGTGTACTTATCTTTATTCATAGAAATATTCCAATCTGCAGTATTAAAACGTCCTAATGACATCGAAAGCATATGCAGCCTTCCTATACTTTGGGCTAGTCGGGCTGCTACTGAAAACTCTAGGCCACTCATGAATTTTCAAGGAAAGGAATTGGATGTAGTTAGGAGTATATCGTTTTGAATAGCTCATCGGTTTGTCATCGCAATAGTACCACCTGGTCAACAATACTTGTTTCTGAATCAAAAAAGTTTGCACTTTTTTTCGTTGAAATATAAAAAAAAAATCGCAATTTTTAACTGTCAAATGAAAAAAAAATTATAAAAAGCATTTAATTACAAGATTTAATAATGTTCATGTTAACGTGTATCTTGTATACAAAAGTAAATAAAAAATTTATCTGTCAATAATCTTACTTCGACAAACTAGTTTGACTGAACATTATTTTTTTTTATTACAGATACTATAAACCAATCCTAAGGGTTTAATTCAGGAACCCAGAAAGCTCATAGAGTATGTCCGATGCTGTGCACCTAAACGAAGTGTATATATATATATATATATACATCTATAAATACATCTGCGGAACACAAGGCCAACATCAATTTTTCAGTTTGTTAGTTCGTTTATAATGTTGAATTATTTTCTTCTCTAAGACAGTGAGTTTGATGTGATAAAATAAGAGGACGATGTAATAAAACAAGGTATGTTTTCAGAATCAGTCGCTTTCTTTTGTTTCTTGTGACAGTTCTCACTTGAAATCTAGATCGTCGATGAGAAGGCATTTGCCTAAGCGTGGGTCAAAGTCCAACAAACAGTATGAGACAGTGTAATGTAACCGCTTCAAATGACATAATTGTATTCACGTTATTTCGGTACCAGTCGGCCATCAGCCTATAAAAAAAAAGGCCCAACATTTCCCGACTGTCAGATCAAAGTTACGTGCTCTTGATTCCACACAAAATCATGGAATTTATAAATCATTCACACCGCACTTCCCATTTGTTCGTAATCAAAGTTGTCACAACGTCGATTTGTAAGTTACTTGCCGCGGTATTCATATACGAGTATGGCTTCAACGTCGATATTTAAAATTTTTTCCGCTCAAAAATGCGGAGAACCGTTAAGATTTTTTTACTTTTATATATATTATAAAAGTTCTTCATTTCTTTCATGGCGGCTTATGTCGTCATTTACACACGCAAGGCGGTCAGCCGACCGTAATGCGTATCAGCAACACTGGACAGACTAAACCTCAAACATTCATATATACCGACACGCGAAGAATGTTCTTGCGATGGCGGACGTGTCAATTTCGAAATTTTTCGAGGAATTCCTGTGCAGTGTGTGGGGTAGCTGAGTGGTATCCGTGTCAAGTGGAAGCCAAAAAGTCACGTCTGAACTGAAGTCTTAAGGGGCGTGACGAACGATGCATAAAGCTGAGGATAGCAACACAAGAATCTCGGCTTCGATCGGAAATATCGTCTTCGCGATTCACGGTACAGTGGTATCATGTACTGTAAACAATCCTGGAAGATGATACGACGAGAAAATAGCCTTCTCATGAAATGCTAACGCATTTCTATGGCACCGATTTGTGACATACGAATGATGAACATTGTGACAGTAAGTATTTAGGTGATGAAGTTTTATGTTCAGTTCAACTAATTAGGGTTCCTCGCTTGTGGGGACTTAACGTAAGCGGGCATGCCAATCATGAGCTTCAGAAGTAGGACGAAGACCGCCATATTTTGGTCTTTTTTCTTATATGCTAATAATAATGATCGACATCAGTATTGCGTTAACGAAGATACGACTTTCGTTATAAGAGCTATAATTTAAATGCTAGGTCGCCGCCATTCACTAACTAGGACATACAATGCGCACATTTGGCGCTAGAAGTACTTGTATTTTATTGCGAAATGGACCTTGTGGTGATGCTGTTTACGACTCGGGATAAACTCTGCATCTTCGTACGTGTGAACCACCTGTTTGGCAGGTTGCACGTGTCACTTTGTTCTTCGCTCATTATAACGTACCGACTAAATATCACAATGAATTTTAGTAAGATGTTTAGTGGCAATTCGTAGTAGGAAATACGTTCCTATACGTAACTTGTTTTTAATATTTTTTTATTATCACATCCCTTTTAACTTTTCCTGCAGTCAGGCTCGCAACTTGTACCATAAAAATTATGTTATCGATTACTTTATTACGTGAACCTTTCGTACTTCGTTAAAGTTTTACTGACATTGTTAATGGCCGTTGAAGCAGAGACTTTGCAACCATTTTAGTATTCTGTAATATTTCAGTTACCTTTTTTGTGATCTTTCCGCCTGTCCAGTTGATATTCAACCGGATTAACTTTAATTTTCAAGCTGTAATAATATAGACATCAGGCAGAATTTGTACACGTTCAATGCACTACCCATCATCTACTTATAATTTTTGGGTTCGCCTTACACTCTGTTTCTGTTTCACTGAAAATCTGTAACCCATCTTCTACAGGCGATATTTATAGGAAAGATTCGGCGACTGGGAGACTTTATGGTAGATGCAATTATAAATAGAAAAAAGCATTTTATGCAATCACTTATTCGCCTACTCGTAGCCGTATATTAGACATGCGTAGGACGATAGCTTTTACGAGGCCTGATGTATTTTGGCAGTTTTGGCCTATATAGTTGATTGTCTACTTAAAGATGTTTTTAGCATTTAATTTTCACGACCGCGATATTCAGGCTCCTTACTTAATACGTGCACAATCAAAATGGTGCAGAAATGTTACGTAGCGTAATGTTCGGCTAGTTCATCTACTTGGATTTTTTGGATAAACCTTCTTACTGTTGTTCATTTTGGCTGTTATTCACGAACGAATAATGATGAGAATTTAGAAGTCTGCGGCAAATTCTCAATAAATGCCGATATGTCGGAAAGCACCAAAAGCTAGGAACAATTTCGAAAATGATTACTAATTATTATTACCAATTTTGTTTTCGAAAAAGGGATAGTGGAGCAGATTTAAGACGATCTTGGTCGACAAAGTGAAAGAAAAAATTGTTTTAGCCTTTCAATAAATCATCATTGAAAGTCTTCCCGATGTATAAGAAATATAACAACACTGTCGTGTGGGATATGAGTAACAATGAAACGACAGGATACTTACAAAATAATTTTTTACATTAAAGATAACAAAATAAGTTGACACGCATTGGTATGTCCTCTTGATTAATCATAAGCAGAGCTACTGAACTGAGATGTGATGAATATTCTAAGGTTCACGCAATGGCTTCTATCCAAGAAAAACGTAAAAACTCAAACAACCCGAAGAATATCGATTGCAAAAATTTTTTTTGGCTCCCTTAAGAAGTCCTTTAGGTAAGATGTATTTGTCGATCCTAGTTCTATAACAAAAAAAAATTAATGAATGAAATTTTAATTGAATGAATGAATGAAAAACGACGTCTTACTGAAAATAACGGATTAGACAAACTTGGTCTTATCAGGGGATAAGCCGTGGATTCACAGGAAATTCATAATTTTACGCTTTTCTCTAAATTTCATCACCTTCTATATGCACACAAAAACTAGCCATAAGCTTGAGATAGTCTTACCATAAGTTTGTATCAAACTTAAGATTATCTCAAAAAAAATGTTTAGCTTGTGCGCAAACTTATGCATTTGACTTTATAATAAATATATTCGGTTCTCAGTCAAGTACAATAATTAATATTAATAATAATTAATAATAATCAATCATGAATCATTTTTGTTCACCACTTTTCAATTAAGCATGCTTATGGGCCATAGAACAAGGGCCACGAGAGCACCACTAATGATCACCTAAACTTCGTTGTTCTTTAGTTCTTACATGCCGAAAATAAACATGAGCGAGATTATGAGACCTATTTTAAATATCGTGTTAGATCACCATACCACTACACCGTACTGTAATTACCTGCCAAGTTTAACCCTTGCCAATAAAAATGAAGTTTTATCCCAATTTTTATTATCTTCCATTTTAGTACGATATAGTGGACGTTTATCAGTGTCATCTGCCTATAATTTGTGTGTCTACACTGATAATTGAAACAACAGCATTAATCAAATATTACTAAATTGACGATCGCACATTTACTTTATCGCAAACTGGTAGGTGAAAACGTAACGTTTGTGTTTGCGATAGTCAAATAGGTCGCATGACCTTGAGTGGACCGTCAGGCCGCCGACAGACGCTCGTTATAGATCCAGCTCCATTCCGAAAAAACACAGCGGTCAACCGCATAAACAGCCAGGAGCTGTGCTCGTAAGGAATCGGTGAGACGAGAGGTTATCTTTGCAGATCTAACAGACGGACCGGATGCATTCTGCTTTCGAAAATACAGAAGCACCAAGTAGGGCGGCCGACCGCACACGAACCAGGACGGCTAGAAGACTAGCTGCAATAGGATGTAGCTTTACACTGACGTACAGAGAGTCAGTACATGGTGGGTTGACTGAAGCTAGTACACAGGACTGGGTGGGGAGCTGTGGAGGCGCCAAGGGATCCTAAGGGAAATCAACGGCAACGCATGGCTGCTTTCGAAGAACACCATCCACACAGGGAGAAATAGAAGCAGAGTTCTCTGTCGCTGTTGGCAGTCGGTCGGTCAGTGGTCCAATGGTCCCCAGAACTCCCAGCTTTCTAATTGTGTGTGTGTGTGCGCGCAGTGGTGGATCCGCTACACAATGGCAATGCGGTTAGTCTAAAGGACAAGCAGGAGACCTAGGGGAAAACTTACTTTTTGGGGCAAGATGTTCGACAGAAATAGTTGCAGGATGACCATCCCATTCAGTTGGTCAGATACAGCTACAGGAAAAGAAAAGGGGCACAGTAGCCGGCAAGAGCCCAGGCGGTTACGATGGATGTCGATGTTAAGTTGGTTGACTAATCAGGAACGATTGCCCCTTTGCTACTTTTGCTCCTTGCCACAGCTCGCGGTTACGGGTTCCTGCTCCGGACACTGAAGCAAAACAGAGCAGGGCCCGACAAGAATGACATGGTTGTATTATTGTGCCACTGTACAACACGTTTTTTCGACTTACACAGAAGGCTGACGTCAACTGTAGTAGGTCTGTATTGGCTTGTGCCGCCGAAGCCACCTCCAGTACGCACACGTACTACTTTGTGTAAGATGTAGGTGACCTTTCGTTGCCAATCGTCGCGCTACTATATTCAAGGCTCCTTTTTTTGCTATTGAATCTTCTAACTATCTAATGGCCTTCAGTAAATCTAGCATTCCCTGCTCGCGAGATTCATATACTCAGCTAAGTAAAAAAAAAATTCATCGGAAGAATCCTACAGCATGTGACGAAAGTGTAGATTAGATTATCATGTAAAGATACATGAATAGTTTTGTCGTTAATAATAACGGTAATATTGTTCTAAAGAAATATGAATTAACTATGGTTAGGAGTGTTTTGTGTACTTTGACACATCTTTCTATCGTTATGGTTATAGAAACCTCAATGTTGTCAAAACCGTGGAAAACTTGGGTAAAAAAGTATGTACTTTATTTCGGTAAGGCAATTTTGCTAATATGGTTTACAACTAGATAATTATATCGTACATTGTTTTGAATCTCAGAGGTATTTCGCGCCATTTCATCTTATAACCTGTACCGTACCACTGAGTTGTTCCTTGATTTATACGC